CAGCACCGAGCTCCCCTCACCGCCTTCAACCTCTGCCCTACTGGGACAAGCTGGTCCTGTGGCAGTCAAGGGCATGTGGATCCCTGCACTGTCTGCCTGACTCTGGAGCAGCAATAGCAAGTGCTGGAGTGATGCCTGATCTCATCGTCTCCACTGGGCTGGTGGAGGAGGAGGAAGAGAAGGAGAAGAAGGAAAAGGAGGAGGAGGGCCAGCCTCTCTGTCTTGTGCTCACTTAGGAGCAGGTTATCTCCCTCTGGCTATCCAGAGCCATGAAATCCACTGCCTAAGCTGAGATCTGAGTCAAGCGGCTTCATTACAAGGAGAAGGGAGTCCAAGGCAGCACGTTCAACACACACTGCGTTCCAGGACCAGATTCCTCCCTCTGTAAATCAACTTTCCTCTCCCATCCTCAGCCAATCAATGCAGCTGATGGACCCAGACCTCCAGTACCAGGCAGGAGGTGTCTGTGCACAGACAGCTTTGGGAATGGCTGTGATGGCAAATCCCAAGGGCTGCCTTGTTCCTGGACTAAGCGTGCAGCTGAACCATGGGAATATTTCTTGGTCTGTTGATGGGCTTGGGGCCCCCCCCCCCGTTTTTAGGACAAAATCCTCTCATTTGGCTGAGACAGAAGGGCTGTGCGCACAGGGAGGAGCAGGGCTCGGAGGAGCAGCGTGTTTCCTAGCTTGAGCAATGAAAGGAGGGGACTCATGGTCTGAATGAGCAGAGGAACTTGAACGGGGCCCAGCCCTATTAGAGGGACACAGGAGAACATCTCGTTAAGGCAGAGCCTGCAGCCAGGATGGAAAATTACTGGTCGTCCCATGGCTGGGGGGGCTGGCAGCTTGCCGGCCCCAGCACATGCTTTGTGCTGCAGCAGGGGAGCAGACAGGGCACAGCACATCCCTGCCCTTTGCCAGCTCCTGATGGCAACACTCCCCATACCAGGCTGTGTTGCAGGGAGAGGATGCTGAGCTCCCTGCAGGATTGCATCTTCCCAAGCAGCTTCCTCATCTCTGCTGGAGAGCAGTGTGGCTGGCTCCTGCCTGTTGCCTGCAGCCCAAGACCTAAGCTCATTCCACATAGCAGCCTCCCCTTGTTCTGCATGATACCCAGCAGTTCTGGGGGAATCAAGCTGTCCCTGAAGGCTCTAGCCAAGGCCTGAGGGCTCTATTTAGGGTGTCCAAGGTCCAGTTGCCCTTCTGTCATTCTGGCCCTGATTGCTTTGGAACCAGCAAGCTGTTGGGCTTTTGTTGCCCTCTGAATGCATGGCTGGGTCAAGTCATACCTGCCCTAAGGTGGCAGGCTATGGGATGCAGAGTGGAGCCCATCACCAACAGACAGTGCTCCAGTGTCACTGCCCTGAGGCCAAGCCAGCCTGGTAGCCTCCCTGCTCTTGCCATGGCCCCAGAGCACATGGTCCCACACCTGTGGAGCAGCTCTACCTGGCAGACACCTCTACCTCAGCACAAGGACACCCCCATGGCCACCAAGGTCACCCTTTCACTGCTGGTTTCTGAGAGTTGGCTCCTGGGCATTTTTGGAAATACACCTTTGGGGTTATGTCTCACCAGCTGCTAATGCTCCTTGTTTCCCCCCTTCTTGAACAGATTGACTATCAAAGATCCAGCGCTGAGCCAGGCAGGGCCAGCAGCCGCATGCTCCAAACAATGTCTTTAAGGGCACCAATACAAACATCACACTTGCACACAACCAAGGCTAAATTTAGCTCCGGCTTCTCTGCACATCGTCAGTGGAATGCATGCTGCTCAGGGTGGGACCTACTGCACTGCTCAGCTGCACTGCTCAGCTGCCAAGGTGGGCAGCCAGCACATCTGCCCCAGCCTGCTTCCCCTCATGACCCCACAGTGGCCCCATGTGCATGCATGTTTGCCACACCTCAAACCCTGCCCCGCTCCAGAGCTTGGATTCAGACCTCTGCTTCCCTTGCTGCTCATCTGAATGCTCCCTCTCTGCTGGTGGTGGCTCAGTGCTCCATCCATCGCCAGCTGTCCTCCACCATGGATCCTCATGGCATCACCAGCATTGGGTGCTGCTGCGGAAAGGTGGCCAGGGGGTGCAGAAGTACCTGCAGTGGGGATGGGGTGCCAGGTTCTATGTGAAGGTGATTTCTGAACCCCTACATAGGGTGACACCCCAGTTGCCCCACCTTAGAGCACAGAGATGTGCTCTTCTCAAGCCTACTTGATCATGCAGTTACCTCAGCACAGGGCTCTGCTCCCTTGGCAAGGCAGTCTTCTAAAAGCTGTCAATTGGTAAAGTCGAGCTTCATGCAGAGAAGGTAAATCCCTGGTGTGAAAAATCATTTATTCCCAGAGAAATCGCTGGCAGTTGGAGGAGGAGGTGGAGGTTTAAATTTGCACCTTGTCAGAAAGATTTTAATCCAGCCCTGACACATTCCTGACCAGTTCAGAGGAAACTCCTTGGGTGCTGGACCCACAGGGGGACAGCCCTGAAGGCAGAGAAGATCTGAGCTGAGCCCATTGAAGTGCTGGACTGGTTCCTAGCTGAGGGATTCAAGGGTCTCTGTGCTCCCTGACATCTCTCCAAGGTGGGAAGGTGAACAGAGCCTTGATGACTCAGCAGGAAAGGCTGAAGTCAGCGGAAAACTGGTTGCCATCCAAAAAGCCTGGAACAAGCTGTTAAAACAGATGTACCCAGGATGGAGGCGAATATCTGTATCAGCAGACATTCCTCCAGCCCCTCAGGAGGCTTTGGTAGGATGAGTTTTCCATGGCTGTTCTCAAGGCAGCCCATGGCCCAGAAGTTAAAGGTGCTATGAAGCACAGAGCTGTGTAAGCCACTGGCTGAGGGGTGATGAGGTTGAGGTCTGAGGTACCTGTAGGCACCCACTGCCATCCTGGGAATTTAGGGCTAGGGCAAACCTGGATCTCTGGATGAGTGGTGCTAACAAGACCCTGGTTCAACCCCCCTTGAAACACCAGAACTACTCCTACGGGTGGTGGTTACAAGGAATGCCAAGAAATTCCTTTCTAGGGCTAGCCTAGATTCACAGCTGGGTAGGACCTCCAGAGATGATTGTCTCCAAGATCCCTACCCTCTTGCAGCATCTTGCATTGCATAGGAAAACCCGAGCCTCACACAACCCACAAGAAACCTTGGTTTTCCCATGCTGACAAGTAAATAGCACTGCAAAGCAGGATGGAGCAGCAGCAGGCCCTGACTCATGTACACTGTCCCTGCAAGGAAGATCTGGAATGTTTTCCCTGAACTCTCCTGGCAGATATGCCCAGCAGGAAAGAGGAACAAGTGCTAGCCTGGACACCAGACCACAGCCCTGCCCTTGAGAGTCCCCCCCAGGTGAACAACCCTGCGGCTGGGTTGATGGGGAAACAAGCCCATGGAGGACAGGAGATGGGGTCCTCAGCAGGTTCTGCATAGAATGGTTTTCAGAAGGGCCAGTTCTGAAGGGCATGTCTTGTGCAGTTTGTGAGTGTTCCATCCCTGGCAGTGTTCAAGGCCAGGCTGGATGAAACTTTGAGCAATCTGGTCTAGTGGAAGGTGTCATTGCCGTGGCAGGGGGATTGGAACTGGATGATCTTGAAGGTCCCTTCCAACCTAAACCAGGCTGGGGTTCTGTGATTCTATGGACGTGGGGTGGAGGCTGTTCTATCCCCAAATGAATCAAAGCAGTACCGAAGAAGTACAGGGGAAGGAACAGTGGTAGGATGAGCTTGCCTGGCTTGGAGGCAAGTTGGAATCAGCCCTTGCTCTAGGGGCAGGCTGGGGCCCTCTGTCATTGCTGGACAAGCTGTCCCAGTTCAGGACACAGACTTGCTTCATACCTTGGGAGCTCCAGGCTCCTTTAGAAACTTGGGCACTATTACAAGGGTGGTAGGCAAACCTCCTCAGACTGGCTGCCTCGCAAAGCTGGTGGCCTCTGACAATGCAGGACCACAGCCAGGGCAGAGGGGGCAACCACCAGCATCCACACGTCATGCAGAAGATGAGGGTCCTGCATCTTCCCCACTGTGGCACCAGCTCTCTCCAACCATCCCCATGGTGTTCTCAGGCACTGGTTTTGCCTCACCCAAACAGCCACCCCACAAACCTCCTGCTCTAGGCAATGAGCTGCCACCCCAGCATCAATATGTGGGGGATCAACACTGCTCCGGTCACGGGCTCCACTCCCAAGTGATACACCACCTGACGCCACAGCTATCACCATCCCCATCCTCACTCCCTGGCACCCATGGGCCTGCTGTGAAGACCCTCATTGCACAGTTACAACTTATCCTGGCACCACCTGAGGCCCTTGATCATGACCATCCCATGCTCAGGGGAACCTTCACCCCCATGCTCCAAGAGGACCCCCAGGTGTCTTGTCATCCTTAATCTTGTTTCTGGATGCTCTCAGCTCCTTTGGCCTACATGCCCCCTCCCCCAGACTCCCTAGTCCTCTTACTCATAATTAATCAGTTCTAAGCAGCACAGGTCCCTTCTTCTCCTAGAATCCTCCCTAATCATCGCCTTCCGCTGCTTTTGGGGACCCCCAGACCCTCTGGTCATGGCCCCATACCTTGGTCTCCCCAGGGGTTCCACTGTCTCCTGCTTCTGGGACTCCATGACCACAGGGACACCCCTGGACCCAATTGTCATCGCTGTCCAGTGCTGGGACTCCCCCAGCGCCCCATCTCCATGCCCGCCCCTCCCCCCCCAGCGCTCCATCTCCTGTGTCCCCCCCATATGCTTCATCTTCCATTTATACCCCCAGTGCTCTATTTCCCGTGAACCTCCCTAGCGCTCCATATCCCGTGTACCCCTCCCAGGGCTACATCTCCTATGTCCCCCCCCCCATTGCTTCATCTCCCGTGTACCCCTCGCGCTTGTGTAGCCCCCCACACCGTTCCATCGCCCATGTCCTTCCCCCGCGCTCCGTCTCTCTTGCAGCCCTCTCCCCCCGCCTCATCAATCCATCACCCCTTACAACGCCCCAGCCCCAGGTTCCTTCTCCCGTTTAATACCCGCATTCCCCGGCCGGGCCCATTGTCCTCCTGGCATCCCCCCGTTCCCGGCCCCGTTCCCATCCTCCGGCCCCGACGAGGGGAGGAACCGGCCCGGCGGCGCTGTGCCCAGCCTCGCCCGAGCGCCGCCCCGCACGCCCCGCACCGGCACCGGCACCGGCACCGGCTTCGCTCGCTCGCTCCCGCCGAGTCCCGCGGCCCGGGATGAAGGTTCTCCGGCACAAGATGGAGCTGCTGACAGGTAACGGCCCGGGCGTTTTGGGGTCCGGACAGTGCAGGGCTGCAGCGGGGGGAGCCCAGCCCGGGGGTGCGGGGTGAGGGGGTGGGAGCACGGAGGGGCCCCACCAAGCAAAGGGCCGGGGGTGGGTTTTGGGGTGCGTGTGCGGCTGCACTCCCCGCGCATGGGGCCGCGGTTCCCCTTAGCCCCCGCCTCCCCCAGAGCCCCCCGCCACTGCTCCTCATGCCCCCGGTGCTCAGACCCTCACCGCTGGCACTGAATCCCCCCGGCGCACCCCGCGCTGGGCTGGTTTTGGTGGGGGGGATGCAAGCTGGGGGTGCTCACCCTGCACCCCGGCTCTACCCGGGCATGCTGCCCGGTGTTAAACCCTTCCCACAGCCTAATCATGATGGTAATAATAATAACTGTAGTAACGGTGTATTTCCTTGCCATAAGCTGGTTCTCCTCCAATAAGCTGCAGACCCCTGGGGAAGGTAAGCCTTGGATGGAAGCTGTTTCCATCCAGGTCTATGTATGTAGTGCCACGGCCCCTGCAAGGCAAAGTGCTTGTCCCAGACAGAGCACTGGGTTTGGGACTGATTTGGGATTAGGGAGGAGGAGTGTCCCAGCTGTGCCCAGGAAATGGTGGCATCGCAGTGGGAAGGCAGAGTGGGAGCAGGGATGGGCACCCTTGGAGCAGCACCCTGGGGATGGGTGCTGTGGATAGGCACTGGTGCAAGCTGGAGGGAAAAGGGCTCGTTGCCTGTCACATTGCCCCATCTTGATGAGAACCAAGTTGTTTTGGCCAGGAGATCCAGCGCTGTGGCTTACCCACCAGCCCTCCACAGTGACAGTGGCCAAGCCAGGCTTGGTAAGGGTGCCACAGTCCCACTGCTGCCCTGGCAGGGGCAGGGACAAGGGTACTTGTGGGGTGCCATGGGAAGCAAAGCACCCACCGAAATCCTGCTTGCAGGCTGTTGCACCCATGGGACTCCACATTGTACCGATCCCTGCTCTGTTCCCTCTCAGTGCCACGCCAGGGGGCCCATCCACCCTGTGCTGAGGATGCTGCAGGGCTCTGCCACGTCCCTTGTGAGCCAGCTCTGCCCCCGCCATCAGCAAGGTCATGGGGCCTTTCCTCATGGCTGGGCCACCCTCCCTCCCTCCCATATTAGCTGGAGGCTTTAATTACTAAAGGCACTCACCCTACCCTACGTGCTGTTCCCAGCCGTGCCAGGGGTTGCGGGCACAGGGTGGGTTCCTGCGCTCAGCGTGGGACGCTCCTGCTCACTCCCAGACCTGCTACTGGTGAGGCTGATTTTCTCCCCATTGTTTAACGCTGGGATGGTGTCACAGGGCATCAGGGGCTCTCAGTCGGTGGCTTTGCAGGGCTGCATCATCTGGGCTGTGCTGGTGGGCTGCAGGCGAGGGCTGTCCCCTTGCATAAAGCCATCTGTCCAGCAGCAGTCCAGCCTGGAGCAGCATGGCCCAGGCAGGTGCCCCTCCATGGGGCTGTTGACACCTCTCCCCACTAGGGTGTTGTGCGGTGGGGCCCTTGGTGTGGGGGGTGATGTGGGCGCTGGGTGCCCTGAGTCTCCCTGGCGGCTTTGCAGTGGTGTTTCTCCCTCCAGACACTTGTGGTCTGTTGGGTGGCTCCCAAGGAGCAAAGTGCCATGTGTGCAGAGAGCAGCCAGGTGGCACAGCCTGCTTGGGTTTTGAATGGAAAACCCATCTGGATGAGCAGATCTGGCTTTGGAAGGGAGCTTATGACCAGCTTCAGTATTCCTGGTGGCATTGCAATGCTCGTGGCATTGCCTGGCTTTTCCACAGCTCACCTGCAATGATCCAGGTTTGAAAGTGGGTAAAGGTAGAGTGGGCTGGGCCAAGGCTGTGGATGAAGCAGGGTCTGTGCCTGCTGCGGTGCTTGCACAGCCCCATTCAATCCCTGGTGTCTCTGGGGACATTGCAGAGGGTGGGCAGCTGGTGCAGGGGGGTAGGGCTGATGCTGGCCCATTCAGAGCAGCAGTTGTCTGAAGGCTTGGCCTTGGGGAAGGGGTGGAAACAGAGGCAGCGAAGGCAAACACCTGAGGTCCAGATCCTGCCTGAGCACAGACAACCCCCTTGCACTAGGATGTGCCAGTTACCCATCCCGTCTATACAGGGGAGCCTGCCTGTCACCTTCTGTGCAGAGCCAGATGCTGGGAGCACAGGCATTCCCTTGCTCTAATCTGCTTTTCTAAACTGGGTTTGTACCTGAGGGTGTTTTGGAGATGTTGGTGCTGGGGGTACAAAGTCCCTGGTCAGCAGCATCTGCTGAGAGGCAGCACCATGGTAAAGTCTGTCCCTACAGGCTCCTGGATGAGCTGCCCTCTGGCCATCACCTGGTTCCCAGGAGAGGAGAATAATTTGAGGGTAAAGGCTCCACATTTGGTTTTCTCCATCATTGCAATACAAACTTCAGGCTGCCTCTCGCTCCCCTGCTGCTTGAAGCATCCCTCTGCCTCCCAGCACAGCTCACCCTGACTGTGCAGGGAGAGCTCCCTCTGTCCCACCCGTATCTGACTGCAGGCTAAATGCAGGCAAAACGCTGGATTTTCTCTCTCCAAGTGATGCTGGAAGGTCTGGTGGGAATCGGGATGTTTTTTCTGTGAATTGAGTGCTTAAAGTGCGACCACCATGGATAGACCAGGGTTATCTCCCAGTTTGCCTAGGACTGTGCTCTGGAGATCGGTCTGATCTTAACTGGAAGAACTGGACCTCTGGGGATTGCCTGCCCCGTGCCTGCTCCCAGCTCCCAGCAGAAGGGCTGGCTGCAGCCCGTGGACAAGCTGCATCACCAAGTCCCTGTGGTAGATGTTTGGAGTGAAGCTGATTTGGACCCTGTGCCTATGAGCAGGGAGACCTGGGGGGCTACAGGGGATGGGGTGAAGGGGGTGGAAGCAGAACCTGCCCTGACACCTCCACTGCAGGGCTGCTGCTGCAGGAGATGACCATGGCAGGGCTGCATGAGCTGCGCTTTACTGAGGAGAAGCCGCTGTTAAGGAGCCAGGATGCCGAGCTGGTGAGTCTAGTACAGATGCTGAAGTGAGAGCCTGGGGAGGTGTGTGCATGCTGGTATGGGGTGCCTGTGTGGTATGGAGTCTATGTGTGTGCAGGTGTGTGGGTGAGCACAGGTTCTGGATTGGTGTGAACACAGAACCGTAGAACCCCAGACTGGTTTGGGTTGGAAGGCACCTTAAAGCTCACCCATTTCCAACCCCTGCCATGGGCAGGGACCCCTTCCACTAGACCAGGTTGCTCCAAGCCCCTGTGTCCAACCTGGCCTTGAGCACTGCCAGGGATGGGGCAGCCACAGCTTCTCTGGGCACCCTGTGCCAGTGCCTCAGCACCCTCACAGGGAAGAGCTTCTTCCTTATATCTAACCTTAATCTTCCCTGTTTAAGCTTGAACTCATTACCCCTTGTTCTGTCACTGCAGTCCCTAATGAAGAGTCCCTCCCCAGCATCCCTATAGGCCCCTTTCAGATACTGGAAGGCTGCTATGAGGTCTCCACAGAGCTTCCCTTCTCCAGGTTGAACAGCCCCAACTTTCTCAGCCTGCCCTCATACGGGAGGTGCTCCAGTCCCCTGATCATCCTTGTGGCCCTCCTCTGGAGTTGCTCCAACAGCTCCATGTCCTCCTTATACTGAGAACACCAGAACTGCACACAGTACTCCAAGTGGGGTCTTCCCGAGAGGAGCAGAGAGGGAGAATCCCCTCCCTCGAGCTGGTGCTCATGCTCCTTTTGATGCAGCCCAGCACATGGCAGGGTTCTGGACTGCAAGTGCACACTGCTAGATATTGTATGTGCATGCAGATGTTGCACATACATGCTAATACACACAGTGTGTGCACATACTGGCAGGTAGCATGTGTGTGTGGACATTGTAGATGTGCATGTGTGTGTGCACACGTGTGTGCATCGTGTCCCCCTGCAGCCAGCACTGCCCTGGGAGCGAGTGCTCATTATCTGGGGGTCTTAATGAGTTGGGTGGAAGGAGGGAGGATGTCTCTGTCCCTAAAGGCTCCTTCTCTCCCCAGGACAACTCGGATGTCTTCCTTTCCACAGAGGACATGGACTGGAAGGTAGGACCAGCCACAGGGGGGTGTGCACCTTGGGTCCTTTGGCGGACAGCCGCCTGAGGCTGGGGAAGGCTGCAGGGTGCTGAACGGATCCAGGGGTGCTGCTGTCCCCCTTTCCCCTGAGGACACCGTTCCTGGGCAGTGTCTGTACATGGGGCTGCACGTCTATTGCATACACCAGCAGGAGGGGATGGGGCCAGGCGTCTCTGTGCTGGCACTGAACGTGGCTGCGGGCACTTGGCGAAGGGCCGGGGACAAAATCTCTTTAGAAGAGTCGATTTCTTCTCAGGAGGGCTGAGCTGCTTTTCCAGCCCCTCCACCATTGCCATGGCAATGGTTTCCCAGGCAATGCCAGCCTCTGTCTTACATAAGGATGTTTGAAAGCCTTCCTTTTTTTGGGCCTTTGGCGTTGCCCCCTCTTTTGGAGAGCAGGGCCCTCCACTCGCTGACTGGAACCTGCTCACCTTGTACTTCCATTTCACCTCTCTGTAGGAGCCCCATGACATGGCCTTGGGGCTTGTGGGGCTCAGCTTTTGTGGGCTCCTGCTTTGGTGGGATTTACCATCACACCCAAGCTCATCCTGCACTGGGCTTCCCCCCAGAGACCAGGGTGCCGGTAGATGGGGAGGGAGGGCAGGGAGACGGCCATACCCCAGCTTGCTGCCTGTCCCAAAACATGCCCCCTTCCCAAGGGACACCAGTGACTGGCTTCAGGTTCTGTTACTGCTTTGTCAGTGCTGGGACCACTGGAAGGGTGAGCTCGAATGGTGCTGTCTGAGCCAGGTCTGGCACTGAAACAGCAGCACTTGCAAGGGTGAAATGAATCAGGAGTTTGTTCATCCTGGGAGAGGAGCAGGGAAGCCCAGGTCCCTCTTTTGGCAGACTGAAAGTGGTGTCTGGGCTTTTGGGGCTGGCCTGCTCAGTCTCCATCCCACATGCAGGTGGGGACCAACGAATTCCATCAGGATGCTGGGCTGGTGGTTTGCAGAGTGGGAGATTTCGGTGTCTCTCTTGGAGGCCACAGGATTATTAAGAGGTGGCATTGGCAGAAAGGAAATTCCAGCGTTCCCAGCAGCCCCAGAGCTGGGGAGGTGCTGGGGCTGGGCATGACAAGCTGTGTGGGTCTGGGCTGCTCCTTGCTCTGCCTGCTCAGGGCTCTTACTGACAGCTGGAGGGGAAATGAACCCTCCTGGTGTCGGTGACTTGAGGGTGAGGAGATGCAGAATGCAGCAGGGGCACCAGTACGGCCCTCACTCGCCTGCGCCAGGTCAGGGGTTGGTTGGTGTGCAGGGGATGTGAGAGAGCAGCAGCTCCCCCAGGACAACCTTTGCACGCCAGTATTTCAGGGAGTGGCCCACAGTGATGCTGACCCGTGTCCCTGCTGGTGCCTACTGTAATGGGACCAGACAGTAAACGCCCCAGCGATGCACCTTGGTTCCTAGAGAAGGACCCAGGCAAGGATCAAAGCAGCATTCCTGAGCCAGCCAGGCCCTGAGCCCTCCTGATTCCCCTCCAAGAGCCTCATGGTGTGATGGGATGAGCTCCCCAGGCTGTGCAGGGGCAACATCCCCTTACCCCTCCCACCCCAGCACTTTACCCTCGCCTCCTTGGGGTATTTAATCCAGCCCCAGCTGAGCTCTTGGCCGTCCCCCTGCTCATCACCAGAGCCATTACTGCTCCCTTGCCAAGATGCTCTGGGCTAGCAGGGCAGTGATGGGGAGCGGGGGTCCCCCCTTCCCACACCAGCCATAGTAAAGCCCTTGGGGCTGCTGGAATAAGCCAAATTGTTGGCATGCAGGGGGCAGGAGCCCCTGCCCTGGGACCTGGTGGCCCTAGCTATGCTGAAGGTCTGGGCCACCCACCAGCAGATGGGCTCATAGCCAGTGGGGTGGCAATGCCATTCAGTGCCTTTCAAATGGAGTCAGCCTTGCTCAGCCCCCCATGTCCCTGAAGCCCTTCTGCATTCATGCCTTGCTTTGCCTCAGCTTTTCCACCCCTTCTCCCTCTATTTTGCCATCGTCTGTATTCTCTTGTCTGCTCATGCCCCTCTGCAGCTCTAGCTTCTCCCTGAAGGCTGTGGCTGCTTGTGCTCTTTGACTCCACAGGCAGCAGAGGTTCCACCTGGCCCCATGAACAGCTTTGTACCTGTGCCAGGACCCCCTGGAGGCTGGGCTTACCCCCTCACACGGTCCTTCCTTAACAGAGATGGAGCTTGGGCTTGGCTCTGAGCACCCTGCAGGACAAAGCAGTGCAGAGGAAAGCTGCTTTGGGGAAGGCAAAGTGGATGCCGTCCTTGTGCCCGTCTGTGCATCCTTTCTCCAGCATCCAGACCCCCTGGCTCTTCGCAGGACACCACATTCAGTGGCTCCCGCAAGCTCTGGGTGATCATTTCTCAGGTCAGGGGAAGGGCTCTCCCCAAGGAAAAGGGTCTCAGTCCTGTTATTGGACATCAGAGACTCTATAGAACAAGCCTTCTGGGTGGAGCTGAGCCCATGGGGCTTTGCCATGGGGGGAGGCCCGTACTTGTGCTGGCAGTGGCAGTGGGATCCATGGCTGTGGTGTGGGCAGGCCATGGTGGGAGCGAGCCATGGCCAGGGTGGGCCATGATCCATGGTGCAGAGGTGGTGACATGCTCCAGAATGGCACACCCCTGGGGTGGGCAGGGGGGCTGGAGGGTCCCCACTGAAAGCTGTTGTGGTCCAGCACTGCTTGTGGCTCTTCAGCCCATTTGAGGGTCCATGGCACTCTTTTCTCCATCCATGGTTGCCCAGCTTCATGCTGGAGTGGCTCTGGAGGTGGCTGTGCTGAGCTGGGCTCGACAGGAGCAGGCAGGATAAAGGGGATGGCACCCGGAGGCTGCCCATCGTGGGGCATGAGGCCACCCATGGGTGTGAGCTGCAGGGAGCCCTCACTGCAATCAGGGCAGAAAACATCCGCCTGTATGCATGTGCACACAGGAATACACACGTGTGCGTGTGCATGTGCATGTGCATACACAGCACGTGTCAGACAGGATCTGATCCCTCAGAGCTGCTGGGTTGTCTTTCCTCCTGCTTTATTTACCTGCCACTGGTGATGGCCAGACTGGGACTCAATCCCGTGCATCCCCTGCTTGCCAGTGTCCCGCAGGATGGCTGTGCTGCTGCGTAAGGTGACACACGTATCTGGGCAGTGTTCACACGCGTGTGCTCCTCCATGCACATGTGCACAAGGTTCTTCATCTGTGCACATCACTGTACATCCATGGGCATGAGTGATAGACATGGCATACACGGGAAACACAATGCTGCTTATGGGCATATGACCATGCACATACATGTGGATGGCACATGGACCAACACAGACACACAGGGGCCAGCCCCCATGTGTGGGTATGCACAAGCATTCTGTGGGGTTGTGTGTGCTCCAGCATGGCTCGTTCTCTTTGTTCTCCTGAAGTTTCCACACACAGAAATGAGAGGGGGACATGACACAGCGTGTCCTGTGTTGGTGCCTGTTCCTGTGCATGCGTGTGTGTGGTCACAGCGCACGCCTGATGTGATGCTCTCCTGTGTGTTTGGCGAGTGCCCATGTCTGTGAGTGTGTTTGGGGGTGATTCCTGACGCGTGTGCACGGTGCAGGCTGCAGGCCCAGCATGATTCTGCATGTTTGCATGCGGCTGCAGCCACACACGTGCGCTGAGTGCCCAGGCACCCCAACCCTGTCCCGCTGCGCCCAAGGAGGGAAGATGGAGCAGGTTCTGCATGCGCCAGGCAGTTTTTCTTTCATAAACAAGGATATCTGGGGCCAATTGGAGCATGAATAATTGCACTGGCAGCCAATGGCTGAATGCTGGCTCCATCGCAGCACTCCTGCAATGGAGCCCAGCCTGTGTCGAGGGGGAAGGGAGGCAGAGGCAGGGCTTAGCGCAGGGCTGGGGCTCCGCTATAAAGCCAGGCGAGGGGCTGAGCTAGCGCGGAGCTCTGCTTCACCCAGCCCACTGCACTGCTGTGCTCTGCATCGGGACCTGCGCTTGGTCCACCCTGCCTGAGCATCCTCGTCCTCCCGGTTCCTCGCCATGCCTGAGTGCTGGGATGGGGTAGGTACCGCCGCTCCGTGCTCGCTGCCCTCCCTTCACTGGGGTTTGCCTCAGGTACATCCCCTCTTTGCTGAGGCTGGACCTTTGCTCCCAGCAGTGCTTGGTGTGGGGCAGGTAGGGGTTGGTGAATGGGGACCTGGTGCTGGGGAGCTTTTCCTTGTCGCAGCCCCACCGCTGCATCTCTGATGTGCCACAGGCTTCAGGGACGCAGTGTCCTTGAGCATGTCCTCCCAAGCCCAGCCAAGGTGCTGCAGCCTGGCTGGAGCGTGGCTGCAGAGGCTGCTGATGGGGTGATATGTGGCACAGTGCCCCCTCCCCACCCCGCATCTGCAGAGGGAGAGGGTCTCCTGCGGTTTTGTAGCACCCTCTTGGATGCTTTCTGGTCTCTGCAGTGACGGCAGCAGGCTGGTGCAGAGGAGGCTGAGCACTGCAGCAGTAAGTGGGTGACCTGGACAGGGCTGGGTGCCCGAAGTACCTGTGGGTGCTGTGACACCCCCCTCCACCTCACCCCACTTTTTCTAAGGCCATGGGTTGTCAGTGCCCTCCACTCCTTGCTGCCTGCATCCCCTGCATCCTTGTCCTTCCCTCCCCCCCCCAGCCTCAGTGAGCATCCCTGCGGCAAAGGGCAGGGCTGTGGTACCCGGGAACGCTGCAGATGCTGCACCATGAGCAGGGATGTGCCTGGCTTGGGGCAGGGGAACGTGAGGTGCTGGGGAAGGAGCCGCACCTTGGGCGTGTGATTTTGGGGTGCAAATGCAGCCTGAGCTACTGGGGCTGTGGCAGGCACCATGGGCACAATGATGGCAAAGAGGCAGCCCTGTGCCCAGGATCAGACTACATGGATGCCTCCTGCTCTGTGACCTTGGGCCAGGCCCTTCCTCTGACTCAGTTTCCCCATCCATTTGTGCAGGGGGATGTCCTTGTTCATTGCCTGCTGCCTGATACAGCCCTGGGAGGTGAAGGGGCCGCTGTAGATGAGGGCTGCGGTCAGGGTGCCCTTGGGGAGCGGAGTGTTGTCTGCTCAGAGCGCTGGTGCTGCCTTCAGGCACTGCATCCCCTCGAGGACAGCGGAGCGCAGCAAGGGGAGGCACTGCAGTGAGGAGGCTGTGTCCTCAGGCCTGCGTCCTTCAGAGTCCTTGGCAGCACGGAACCCATGGGAGAGCCCACGTCCTTGCTCCCCTCCTGCCAGCCCATCCATGGGGCTGCCCGTTCCTGCAGTGAGAACCGTGCCAGCACCCGCTGCCCAGCCCATGCTGATCCTGCACCCACCAGACCCTACCTTCAAGGTCACCGGCTGGCAGGGATGGGCACCCAGAGGGGACCCTGCTCCCTTGTCCCCAGGCAGCGTTTGGGCTCGCAGCCTCAGTTTCCCCTGCTGGCTGGGGACGATGGCTGTGAGGCCTCCCAGGCAGGGAAACTGAGGCACGGGGCAGCCCTGATGGGGGCACAGCCACCACACACCAGAGGGGTTTTAGGTTCACTTCACCTGTGATTTTGGGGTCGGGCGGCTGCGTTTCCACAGGTCCAACCTCTGCCTGTTTGTCCCAGGCACCACGAATCCAGGCCAACCGGGCCATGCTGCCATCCCCGTCCTGTTGACAAACTCCTTCAGTCTCGGGCCCTTGAGGATTTCCTGTGCCATGCTGTGGGCTACCTGTCCCATTCCATGGTTCTCATTCCTGCCTTGGATCATCTCATCCACCCCATTCCATCCCAGCTTCTATCACTTGATCCCATCCCATGATCCCATCCCATGACGCACCATTTTTCTAAATCCCATTACTTTATCCCAAATCCTCCCTTTCCTTCCCTGTGATTCACCTCCCTTCTGCTACCACAGGGATGCCCAAAGCTGGGCTTCTTCTCAGGTTGACTTCTCCCTTTCCCGTGTGCTTCCATGGGACCCAGCTGCCCAGGGAGGCACTGGTGAGGGTCTCTTGGGGCAGGCAGGCACCACCCCGTCTCTTCTCTTCCCCCAGGAGCATGACATTGAGACCCCCTATGGGCTGCTGCACGTGGTCATCCGGGGCTCTCCCAAGGGGAATCGCCCGGCCATCCTGACGTACCACGACGTGGGCCTCAACCGTGAGTCCTGGGGCCATGGGGTGCAGGGGCCGGGGGGAGCAAGCCTGGGGCTGCACTGGGTACAGGACATCAGCCATAGCCCCAGCTCGGCTCCTTTGCCTCCTGCCATGAAGGGTTCCCAGGCTGCATTCTGTGTCCCCAGGTGTCTGAAAGCACCGGATGCTCAGCACAGCCCAAAGCCCAGGGCAGGAGTGTTTGGCCACCCTGCTGCACCTGGGCACGCCGGGAGGGATGGGGCACAGGGGATGCTGGATGGGTCCACATGGCTGTTGGAATCCAGAGCACGGACCTGGGGGATGTTGTGAGGGCTGATGGGTATGGGAACAGTAGGAAAGGAAGGACCTGAGCTGGGGCTCTGGATGTGGAGATTCTGTGTTACCTGGTTTAGAGCGGATGTTAGGGACAGCTTCTCCCAGAGGGTGCTCAGGCATTGGAACAGGCTGCCCAGGGCAGTGCTGGAGTCACCGTCCCTGCAAGTGTTCACACACCGTGTAGATGGGGCCCTCAGTGCCATGGTTCAGTGATGCAGTCACTAACGCTTGTGGGTGGGAGCAGTTGGGCGCAGTGATCTTGGCAGTGCTGGGAGCAGTTTGATGTGCTGATCTGAAAGACCTTTTCCAACCTGGTTGGTTCTGCGGTTGGATCTGCAGCCCGGACCATGGCTGTGTCCCTGCGCTGAGCTGGGGCGCCCGGTGCTCTGTGTGCGCAGGAGCATCTCCCGCTCCATGCAGCGGAGGCTGAGTCACCATGGGTAGAGATGAGCACTCTCACTTCCAGGGATGCGTCACGTCGCCTGCAGTGGCCCTTACAGCGTGCCTCACCCTGACCTGTTAAGAAGGGTGTCCTGGCACCAGTGCCATGGGACAGAACCCCTCCAAGCCCTGGCAATGGCTGTGTCCCACTGCAACAGTGGTGGCCTGTCCACAGCAACACCGGGGCTGTTTCTTTGACTGTTTCCAAGCCAGGAGATTTGCATCCATTTCTGAAATCCCACGTTTGCTTGAGGCCCTGCTGAGGATTTTGGATAGGGCTGATAACACCCAGGCTGCTGATCCTGCTGCCCAGGGTCTTGGAGCTCGGGGCTTTGCAGCCCCCCCGTCACAACCCTCCAAGGTTCATCCAAAACTCCTCATTCTGGCTGTGTCCGTCCATCATCGTGCCTCCCAGCACCAGCAGGGATACAGGCCTGCCGAGCAGTGGCTGTGGGGATGAAGAGCCTCACAGGAAAGGGATGGGAGGGCTTTGGTGACATGTCACCTGGTTGGAGGATAGTGGGAGGGTGGGTGACATCTATCCATGCCCTCTGGCCCGGGTGTCCAGTGTCTGATCCCTGCTGCCCTTTGACAGACAAGCTTTGCTTCAACACCTTCTTCAACTATGAGGACATGCAGGAGATCACAAAGCACTTTGTGGTGTGCCACGTGGATGCACCAGGCCAGCAGACAGGAGCCTCGCAGTTCCCTCAGGGGTAGGTGCCAGCCTCAGGGGCTCTCTCTGCCCTCTTGTCACCCCCGTGCCCCCCTGGATGTCACCCTCCTCCCCCAGGGCTGCTGGTGCCTGCCTGCCGGTCTCTGAACCATGGCAAAGCCTGTGGGTGGATGACAATTCCTTGCCTACTCCAGCAGCCCTGTCCCTGCCTTCCCATTCTGCATCCCCTAACACCACACCGTGCCCTCCTGTGCTGCAGGTACCAGTACCCATCCATGGACCAGCTGGCTGCAATGCTCCCCAGCGTGGTGCAGCACTTCGGGTACGTCACCTCCCCTCCGCACTGTCCGCTGGGGTTGCTGGGCAGGGAGAGGGGCAGGGGGCAGTGTCCCAGTACGCTGGCATCCTGCGTGTGTCCTTGTCCCAGGGAACCCGTGCTGGAGCGCACTGCCCCTCATATGCACCCCTCTGCTTTCCAGGTTCAAGTACGTGATTGGGATCGGTGTTGGGGCAGGAGCCTACGTGCTGGCCAAGTTTGCGGTGAGCTGAGGCTGAGCTGGGCTGGCCCCGTGCTGCCTGTGGCAGCTCTCCGCCCAGGGCATGGGGGGAGCTGACACCTTGGGCAGGCTGTTCCTGGGGAAATGGGGGACCACAACAGCAGTGCTGTGGCCACGGTGGCTGGGTCTTGCCACAGGTCTCCATTGCCCCCAGTGCAGCGGGCAGTGGCACTGGTTGGGGCTCCCTTGGGCACATCTCCCTTCCCTACTGAGTGCTGCCCCTCTTGGTCACCGCAGCTCATCTTCCCTGACCTGGTGGAAGGACTGGTCCTCATGAACATCGATCCCAATGGCAAAGGCTGGATTGACTGGGCAGCTGCCAAGGTGGGCAGAGCCCTGGTCCTGCTCCCTGGGGCAGGAGCCAGCCAAGTGGTCCTGTAACTCCCTGTGCTCCCTCCACAGCTCTCTGGCCTCACCAGCACGCTGCCAGACACTGTTCTGTCGCACCTCTTCAGCCAGGTAAGGGACCATGATGCATCCTGATGCATCCCGTCACCAGCCCCTCACCCTGTATCCCTGTGGGCTGGGCCCTGCCGTGTGCCACTGGACCTGCCCCATATCTACAGGGATGGGGTTAGTCAAGCCCTGCCTGTATCCTTCCTGCCTGGTCTGGGGCTTAGCCTTGACAAGTGTGGGACTCATGCCTGCATCCTGCCTGCAGCTCCAGCATGCCCAGCTGCATGGCCCAGCATCCTCCCTCCCTACCACACTGTCTAGCATGGCATGGGCAGGCTGGGGGAGCAAGGGTGTCTGTGCAGCACCAGGCAATGCCTGCCCTGATCTCTGTCCCTGCCCTGATCCCCATGCCTGCCCTGATCTCTGTCCCTGCCCTGATCCCCATGCCTGCCTTAACTCCCTCCCTGCCCTGATCCCCATGCCTGCCCTAACTCCCTCCCTGCCCTGATCCCTCTCCCCGCTGGCACAGGAAGAGCTGATGAACAACACAGAGCTGGTGCAGAGCTACCGGCAGCAGATTGGCAGCGTGGTGAACCAGTTCAACCTCCAGCTCTTCCTCAACATGTATAACAGGTGAGTGCCCTGGGCTGTTCCCACCTGCATCAGGGTGAGAGGCTGCAGTGCTGGTTGGAGCCCTGGCCCTGATGGGTGCAGAGCTACTGGTGCTGGCCAGGGATGCGGGAATGATGGTGCCTGTGCCAGAGCCTTGCCATGTCCCAGAGCCCACAGCCGTGGATGCAGGCCCTCAGGGCTCCTCCTGCATTGGGTGCAGAAGGGGGAGGGAGCAGAGGTGCTGTCCCATTGTGCAGGGGTTGGGAGCCGTGTTACTGCACTGGGTCTGCATCCTGCTCAGGTCATGGTGGAGATGGATGTGGGGTTCTCCATTCACAGCATGCCAGGGCAGTGGGGCTGGGTGCTGCTTCCAGAGCTGGCAGTGCCACAGCTCTTGCGCTACAGCATCAGTGGCAGCACTGGCCCATGGGCTCACACTTGCCCTCTTTCTCCTCCATCAGCCGCAGGGATCTGGACATCAACCGGCCTGGGACTGTGCCCAACGCCAAGACACTGCGGTAGGAGCTGCACCAGCATGGCAGGGGGGGTCCCAGGGCGGTGGAGTCCTCTCAGGCTAAGCCCTGACCATGCCTTGTCCTCCTCTCACTTGCAGCTGCCCTGTGATGCTGGTGGTCGGAGACAATGCGCCCGCTGAAGAAGGGGTGGTGAGTGATGGGAAAGTGCCTGCAGGGTGGTGGTGCCCATCACTACATGGGCACACACACATGTGCTGCCTGCTCAGACACACGTGTGCTCCTGTGTGCAGGACCATGCTCATGTGCAAACCCACCTGCTCATGTGTGCGTGTCCCTGGTGACACAGCTGGAACCCTCCCCTTAGATCCCTGATGCACTCACAGTGTGCACACGCGGATGTGTTGGCACACAGGCACCCCCCCCCTGTGGCCACAGTCACTCAAGGAGCTGCCAGCACAGACATGTGCTTGCACACACCCATGTGGCCGTCCACACTTGCACAGCCAGCCTCAGGTACTGTGCAGGTGCCCACATATGTACGTACGTGTAACTGCATGCAAAGCCCTCTTAGCATGTGTACACACCTCTGTGCTTGCACACACGAGTGACGCTCAGGATGCCTGGCAGGAGGAAGATCCCCTCTGCCTCAGGACTGCGCGCTCTGGACTTGCCTCCCTGTCTCCACCTCCCTGCAGTGGGATGTCCACTGCAGCGCCATGGGCCAGTGCCACTACTCACAGACAACTGCCCGGCCCAGGGCACCGCAGGGTGCTGATACCACCCCTCTTGCCCACAGGTGGAGTGTAACTCCAAGCTGGATCCCACCAACACCACCTTCCTGAAGGTAGGCCAGTGGCAGGGGCAGCCAGGCGGTCCCTGCTGCCCATCAAGTACCCATTCTCCAGGGTTGCAAGGTGTCTCCATTTCCCCATTCCAGGTCCACCCTGGGCCTGGGGCTGGAGGGTGTGGGGAGAGCAGGGTGGCCTCCAGTAGCGCCATCCTGGGTACCAGGGGACAGGGTGGTTGGCAAAGCTCCCTCCCAGACTAAGCAGTACCTTCTCTCTGCAGATGGCTGACTCTGGTGGACTGCCCCAGGTCACACAGGTGAGCCCCCCCTGTTCCCAGGCTGGGTATACCTGGCCTGAGACATGCCCTGGTGCTGTCCCTCATCCCTGCTCTCTCCTGCAGCCGGGCAAGCTGACTGAGGCCTTCAAGTACTTCCTCCAGGGAATGGGCTACAGTGAGTGCTGGGCTGGGCACGGGACTGGAGTGTGCCCTCGTGTACACATGCGTGTGTGCCCGTGTGTGTGTGCTGCCTTGGCTGTAGTAGAGCAGCCTGGTACCCTGGTGTATCTGTCCTGAGGAAGAGCTGCATATGTGTTCGTGGTGTATTTTCCATGTGTCGACAGGGGTGTGGGGTGTACAGGCTCCATGTGCACACAGACGTGTACAAGGGCTCTGTGTACATCCATGTGTGTATGCACACATACATGTGTGTGAGCATGCACACGAATGGGCTGTGTGCACATACAGACACACAGCACCCATGTGCACAAGTCTGTGTGCACATCGGTGTGTGTAAGTCCATGAAGATGTATGTATGTGGGTGTGCAGGTCTGTGTGCATACTTGTGTGTGCATAAGCTGAAGGTCCATGTATACACGTGTGTGTGCAGGCGTGCAGGTCTGTGTGCATGCACACGTGGGACTGGGGGGGGGCTCCTGGCTGATGGTGTCTCTCTGCCCTCCCTGCCCCTCTCACACCCTGCTGCTGCCAGTTGCCCACCTGAAGGATCGGCGGCTGAGTGGAGGCTCAGGTACCGTTCAGTGCCTGCTGCTGCATGGTGCCAGCTGGCCTGTGCCCTCAAGCTGCCTGGGCACCTTTGGGAGCAGCCTGGGTGCTGGAATGGCCCTTCCCATCCAGATGCCCTCTGTCTTGCTCTGCTTTGCCCAAGATGAGCCCCCCTGACCCAGGGTTGAGGGCTGAGAAATGAGATTCAGAGACATCCCCCACCAAGTGCTCACTGTGCCCTCCTCCCGCTGGGCAGCCGCTGTGCCTACCGGGCATCCTGGCTGCAGGAGGGTTGGCACTGTCCCTGCACACTGGTGAGCCCAAACCGCATCCAGCTCACTCCTTACCCAGAGCATGGCAACCAGGGTCCCAACTGCCCAGGAGACATTCCCAACACGCACACTATCCAGAGCCCCCTGTCCCTGCCCCACTGTCCTTTGCCAGCCTGGAGCTTGCTCATGTTGTCGTAACACCGCATGCTGCAATCTTGTGCCTGGTGTCATTCGCCCTGGGGAGCGGGACCTATGGCTTTGCTTGTGTGAGCGGCTGTCGGCTCCGACCCTGCTGGGTTTTGGAAGGAACTGAGCAGCCCATTCATGTCTGTGTGCCCGTGCAGTGCCCTCCGCCAGCATGACCCGGCTGGCGCGCTCCCGCACGGCCTCCCTCACCAGCGCCAGCTCAGTGGATGGCACCCGTCCACGTGCCTGCACCCACTCGGAGAGCACTGAGGCCATGGGGCAGATCAACCACACCATGGAGGTATCGTGCTGAAGTCCACGCCTGCTGCCGACATCTTCTCCAGAGCCATCTCCTACCCATCAGCATCCCACCAGCACCTGCCTGCCCTGTGAACATCCTCCACCAGGGCCCTCGCTCCTTCGAGGTCGATTTGTCTTCTTGGCCATTGGCCTCACCCCCTTGTCTGGTACCAGAAAAGGAGAGGGGTTTTGCATCCCGGCCTCCAGCTCCTGCCTCCATCCAGCAGTCACCATGGTTCTGCACCCGTCCTCACCCTCCCCAGCAGTGGCCTGGCCCTGGCTTGGGAGGATGGGGGAGCAGGGGCCATGTGGTGAGGTCTGGATAGGATGGCAGGATGGGATGGGACAGGAGGACATGGACAGGACACAGGAGGTAGGTTATTGCCCCAGTATCAACTGGTACCTGGCCAAGCCAGAGGGAAGATTGGACAGAGAGTGGTGCTCACTGGGGGAGGCCACTGGGCCCTTCCCAGGAATGCAGCTCCCATTTTCCCCACCAGTCCTCCCTGAGCAGAGCTGGCAACAGGATCCCCAGCACACCCAGGACCTGCTGCCCAGCACTGTGAAAGGTCACATCCCAAACTGTCCCTGTGCCCTGGTCATGTACCCTGAGGGCTGCCGTGGAGCAGCGGGCTCAGCCCTGCTCCAGAAGCCTCCCACCTCTTCCAGAGGCAGAGGGTGGCATGGGGGGAGGGTCCCCTGCCTCTGCTCTTGCCTCTGGTGGCACTTTCTTGGTTCCTTGTTGCAAGAAGGACAATCACCGTCTGCCACCACCACCACGCTGGGGTTGGGGATAAAGGGGGAGCTCTGTGCCCTGGTTAGCTCAGTCCCTGCCACACTGGCACTTCCACTAACAGCTCTTAGTTAGAAGCCACCGTGTTGGGGATGCGACATGGCAAATCTCCCTCCAGTTTCGCCCCAGCCTGTGTGTGTCACTGCCATGGAGCCATGAGCAATAAGGTGAGACACTCCCACCCCATCTGCAATGCTGGGACCCGTCAGCACTCTCTGCCCCACAGGGCTGGCAGGGTGACCATGGATGTGGGGAGCTCGTCAGGGGCTGGCTTTGCCCACAGAGCTGGCCAGACCCACCATGGCCACCCCTGACCCCCACACCCCTCCAGTATCCTGCCTGTGCACTGAGCAGGGCGTCTCTCAAGGGCTTGGCTGCTCCCGAGCTGTGGGGCCCATCCAGACACTGGCTCCAGTGGATCCAGTCTGTGCTGGGCATGGAGAGCTGTGTCACTGCATAACCTATCTGGCCTCTGTTGCCAACCCTGCCCTGCCCTGTGCAGAGCCTGGGTCCTCCCTTACTGGGGGCAGTGGCAAATGGGTGCTCAAGCCTTCGTGGTGATATGTGGGGACCCGCTGGGTGCCACCATTGGGGTGAGCAGAACTAGCCCCCAAAGTATATGCCCCCAGGCCCCATCCCCACTCTGCAGCAAAGGGCATGGGGGCTCCCAGCACACATATGAAAGCTTTTGGCCGTAAGACCCATGCCCTGATCCTCCCCTATCGAATAGCCACCCCCAAAACACCAGTGTGCCCGTCTGTCCCCCACCTGGTTCTGCTGTGTGCTTCCTTCTCAGTGTCACTCTGAATGCTGCGTAGCTCCTTTTTACTGTAGATACTGCTGTGACCTTGTCTTCTCAGCGTGTCCTTCCAAATGATATATATAAAGATACCTATATACATGATATATATAAGGGTTGGTGCAGTCCTTGACCTTCCTGGGTTCGTCCACCCTTGCATTCTTATCTCAGCAGTGCCGTGTGGTTCCCTGGAGGTGGTCTGGCTGTGCTTGCCTTTGGTTCCTCACCAGGTTTTGTTGGTCAGTTTGGTTTTCTCTGGTGGTTTGTTCTTTCGGTTTTTGTTGGTTTTCCCTATTTTCCCCAGTCACAGCAGAATTTAATGCGCTTTCCTGAGTGCAACCTGGGCTTGTCATCAAGGCCGCAGCACTCACGAGACAGCAGTATGTAAACCAGATTAACTAACCTGTTGCTGTAGAGAGGATTTACTGTGTTGGAAAACAACAACCAAGCAGCTAATAAAACTGTTAAGAACCTGCTGTGCTCTTTCCAACACGCTGCAGGGGAGCAGTTCTGAGCTCATCCTGGGCCTGTCTGCAGAGATCAGGTGGGCAAGGAGGACAATGGGGACACCATGGCCACAAACCCTATCAGGGGCTGCACTGCTGGGGGAGAAGAACCAGGGTGCCCATGGAGGGGAGCCATGGGGTGCTTTGGCAGTGGGGCAGCCACAGGCAGAGTGCCCCATATGCTGGGACTAGTTGGAGACTGGAAAGCTGCCACTTGTGGCCCATACAGATTGGATTCAAGTGGTGCCCAGTGGAGAAGGGAAGACCTTTGGCTGCATGACTCTGGCAGGGGCTGAGCACTGTCCTCGAGAGCTCCAGCATCCCTGTCCTCTTCCAGTATTGCAGGCTCCTCTCTGTGCCCCCATCAAGGTTTGAATGTCCCAGGCCACAACCCTTTCCAAGTGCAGGAAGACCTCCTTGGGAAAGATCCCCTTCTGTCGTTGTTTAACCCCAGCCAGCAGCTAACCACTGCACCCACTGCTACCCCTTCCCCAACCCTAGGAGGATGGGGACAAGAACTGGAAGAACGTGAAACCTGCAGGTTGAGATAAGAACAGTTTAATAATTGAAATTAAAGTAAAATATAATGATAACACAAATCACATCAACAATAATGATGTTGATGATAATAATGGGTGACAACAACAACAACACAACACACACACAAAAAACCCCCACCAAAACCATAAATGTAAACTCAGAAAACCCAAGTGATCACAGCACAGCTGCTCACCACCCGCTGACCGACGCTCAGCAGCAGTCCGTGCCCCTGAGACAACTCCCCCCAGTTTCTATCCCAAGCATGATGCTCTGCGGTGTGAATACCCCTTTGGGTGGTTTGGGTCAGGGGCCCCTCCTCACTGGCAGAGCAGGAGACTGAAAAACCCTTCATCAGGGTGAGTGCTACTGAGCAATAGCTAAACCCTTTGTGACTACCAGCGTTATTCTCAGGCTAAAGGTGATGTGTACTGCCTCTCTGGAGCTCTCTCAGAGCCCCACACACAACAGAGCGTCTAGCTCCTGCTCCCACACCTGAGGTGCCAGGACAGACAGCTGGTGCTGGGCATCACCTACACACAGTGAGCTCTGGAACACCCAACGTGGGGATCTGCACTTCCTCAGCCACCTGCATTCTGCCTCTGTGGCAGCTCTTCAGGCCACCCGGAGATGGAGCTGCGGACCAGCCTCCCTACGGAACACTGTGCTCCACAGGGGCATCACAAAGCCCCTCCTCACTCTACCCGCTCCAAAGCCGAGGTCTCCAACAGCTCCAGCCCAGCCCACCTTCACAAACCGCTGCCTTAGAGCAAAAGGCTCCATTTTCAGCCCTGCTCCAGCAGCAGGCACACCCCCGACCTCCAGCAGCATGGACCATCAGGGTGATCCTCTTGCTGCCTGTATTTAACTGATGGAGCTTTGTTTGATCAGGAATAACTTCACTGGCTTCCTTCAAGAGCTTAAAGGGTTCAGGATTTAACTAATAAGGTAAAAGGCAGTGAAAAGCAATGTGCAGCATCAGAGTGTTCAAGCAGCAGGAGCTGCTCTACAAGGAGACATTTAAACTGAGAGGCCGCGAGTCCCTACTCACTCCATGCCAGAGACACCCAAGACACTGCTGCTGCCATTCTGGGATGGGGTTTAGCTCACCTAAACCTATGTACCTCTATAAAGAGCTGGCCTTTACCCTCCTCCGCCTCACACCCTTCCCAAATTGGGTTTCCAGCTCAATCAGCTGAACCGTCTGACCCCGAATCCAACTTTGTTGGTATAAGCCAACCACAAAACCCTAATCCTGAGGCAGAGTAAGCCAAAGCAGAGCTGCTGGATAAGACAAAGAATATCACCACTAACAGTGGCAACTACTGAAGTACCCCTGGCATTATGAGGGCAGTGCAGCACATTTGCCACAACCCACCCTTAAGAAACTATTCTTGTAACAAACAGAGAAGATGAGGGAAAGGTAAACACACAAGACCCAAAAAAGAACTGGCTGGGTTGGGTTTGTACCCGAGCAAACACAGACCCTGTCCCAAGAGCCACCTCCTCCGCTGCCCATGCACAACCGTAACCACAGAAACCTTCACATTTGAGGCACGTCGTTCCCACCCCAAATCCCTCCCGCATCTCCCACTGTATCCTCAGTAGAGCGAGCTCTATCCCCATGACACCAGCTGCTCCCCTCCAGGCTTACTATAGCCATAGCTCCCACCTGAAACGCACCGTCCTGCTTGGGTCAGCCATGTCCTGCTCTGGCTCTGCTCCATGAGCTGAGCCCTCGGGCAGTGCCCAGGGAGGACACAGTCGTTCACAGGCAAAGCAGTGGACTGGAGCCGCACAGAGCACCCCAACAGTGAGAGCAAGACACAGCACAGGGGGAACCTACGGGCAACGCTAGGGGGGCACGGCTGTGCCAGCAGGCTCCTGCAGACCTGCTCGTGGGAAAGCCCCATCTCTGCCCAAATAGCAGCGACACGGGAAGAACCCCAGGAACTCCAATGCCCGAGGGTGAAGCAGCCGCTTTCCATCTCCACAGCCGGGACCGAGCACGGGATAAGCTTCGGAGGCCTCAGGGAGCGGTGGGATGACTCCAGGAGCCCGGGCTGACGGGACACGGGCCCTGCACCATGGGCACATCCTGCTGCGGTTCCTGCCACTGCCCAGCGGCACCCCCGTGTACCCCAGCCTCGGTCAGGGCTGGCCTGGCCCGGACACCTCTAAGAGAGCCGCAGCAGCGCGTTCAGCGACTTAACTGCAGCTCCACCGCGCTGCGCCGCGGCGCTGAGCACGCCCCGGCAGCCCGGCCCTAGCGAGGGGCCCCGGCCCAGAAGCCGATGGGCTCCGAGACGAGCTTCAGGGGCGGGTGGTGCTGGGATGGGAGACAGTGGGCCGCTTCGGGGCAAGGAAGCACAGAGATCTGACGGTCACCGTGCCCACCGTGCCTCCCGAGCCCTTCCCAGCGCCCCGGGCCTGCAGAGCCCTGGGCCGCGGGGTGACCCCTTCACAGAGAGCCCCCCGAGCACCGCTGGCCAGGGCCCGGCCCTCCCCTCCCCTCCCCGTCCCGGCCTTCCCCGCTCTCACGTCTCGGCCTCGAGTGCCGCCATCTTCCTCCCCTGGCTCAGCT